GGCCACACACGCTGGAGTGTGCTCAGCATCTTCTCCCTTTGCCCCGCAGCATGATACCTCAGACCCCAGGTGGCAGGTGTGGCTTTCCTGGCAGAAAGGAGGTCCTCTCGCTGGCTTCCTGGCTTGCGCCATCTGCTCTGGGCCAAAGCTCTGTAAAGAGTCCGTGGAACTGCCGAGGGCAGGCAGATTTCCAGAAGTCATTCTCAAGGTCATCACATCTGACCAACAGCTAGGAGGTGATCCCGTCACTTGGCAGGTCAGACCTGGCATGAAAATGGTTTCTGACACAATTTCCCTCAAACTCTGTCAAAGTTTAAGAAGAAAAAGTAACCGGTGACTACAAAATAAATGTGTCACGGAAGCCTCACTTTTCCGTTTCCTTGGTAGGGGCTGGGAAGAGGTGGGGGGCGGGGGGCGGAGTTGAAGAGAACAAGAGATACTTGGTTTCGCTCCAAATCCAATGGTGATGCCAGTCCCGTGGAATGCCCAGTTCCCGCTGTCTGCATTGGCAGCATCCACAAGGCAGTGGGTCATTGCCCCAGTGGCCCATGGGTTCATCCTGCAGCAATGGCCCTCTTCATTTGCACAGTGCCACGGGGCGTAGCTGAGCCTGCGTCTAGGAAATTCCTCCCTGGTGTTCGGTCATCACGAGTGGGCCTGGCCACCTGAGAGCAACCATGCGAGTTCACTGCCGGTCCTTCCTCCTGGTCTCCAGGTACTCGGGTTGCCTAAAGCACCTGGGTGGTGTTTCAGAAGTTTCTAGGCCTCTGTCATCTCCTTTCCCATGAGGCAGGTGATGACTCTTACACCCTCACCTGGGTCTGCCTTTATACTGGGGTAGACCTTTAAATCTTTAAAATGGGTCTCAAAGTCAAAACAGGTGCTTATCCAGGGTCAAGGGATGAGCGGACGGCCTCTTTTAGGGTAGGGCCCATCTTGACAAACTCCCACTGCCCCTCTCCGCTCTGGAGGGGCCTGTTCTAAAGGCTGGAGGTGCGCTGCGCCCAGGTCCTCACTTGCCCACAGCCCATGTCTCGAGATAAGGAGCATGTTCACCTGACAGGAGGAGATCTTTCTCTTCCTTGCCATCTCTTCCATTCTGACGCAAGGCACGACCCCGTGGGTAGCAGAATAGAACTAGGCTCCACGTGGTTTGCAGTGGCATTTGGAAGGAGATCACCAGGACTTTCTTCGGAGGCACTTCTGGATGGACTTAAACCTTCATCCTTTGGGTTAGCAGCTGAGCACCTCCACTGTTTGCTCCCAGGGCCCCACAGGGCTCCGGATGACAAGACCTATCCTTGTATAGGTAGGTGCTCACCATCCTCGGTCGCAGAGTTCAGACACAGGGTGGAAAAAGATGCTAAACCAAATGTGCTCCACCCAGAAGCAGGCCAGGGCTGTGCTCGCTGTCTAGTCCCGGTGATGTGAACGAGACCATGGCGTTAAAAACTCAAAAGCCACCGTAAAAATAGAAAATTATCGCTTCCTGTCATGGCCAAATACTAAACACAGTGCACACCAAATGACTCTATCCCTCCCCAGGGAAGAGGCTTTATGAACAATAAAGTCCCAGCAGACTTGCACTGTTTGGGCTTGGAGGTGTCATGACGAGCTCACTGATCCAATACCATTTACAAGCTCAATGGACTCCACTCGAAGTGGAAGCCACCAGCCCAGAGTTATCCATGGAAGCCCTCCAGTGAGAGCAGCACTCCTTCTTCGTCGGGGAAGGAGCAGAAGAGAACAGGAGGGCTTCTGAGAGCAGCACAGGGGACACGTTGCCGGGGGACGGCTCCTGACGGCCTGAGCTGGAAGCGAGGCTAGACAGGCCACTGGAC